GGTATACCTATTAGGATTGCAATTGAGGCAAAGCTTTAGGTTAGACAGCATTACGTTTTGTAATTTGTGCTTTCATCAGAATATCAGTTGTTTTTTTTTTTGCTGCTTTTCAATATATGAGCCAATCTACAGTAACTGACGTAAAGGGCTCAAGGATCAGTATTTCCAGCAAATCCTGATTTTTAATGATTAGCTAACACAAGTAGGAACCTTTCCATTTATGATCCCCTGGGTTGAAAGCAATTGTTAATCAGAAAGCACAATACAAACTTTATCATACTTATAGCACACCCACTGATTTAAGAGGACTGAGTTGAGATCCAACCCAAAGTCTTTGTTTTCCTAAACACAGCCACCTATAAAGTGATGGTGCCAATGATGGATGGAGGATATTTCTAAACACAGGGTTGTGTGTAACCATGTCATTTATATTCATAACTGTGTTCCTCTCTTTGCATTTGTATCTATGTGGTAGAAAAAAATTATATCTTTCCCTATCCCAATTCAGATTAACAATCCTTTATCCACTGATACAGAACTTCTCCCTTTGTGATACTTCTAGACAGCAGAGTATTTTTGAGTGATAGATGAACTGAACTGATGTGTGCTCATCTTCTGACCACTGTTAGTCCAAAACTTTGATTTCTTCCCTTATTTGTTTATCTAGTCTGCAGGAATGTGACAAAAACCATGCCTGGGAAAAAAAAAAGGAATAAAATTGTAAAGCATGCAATGCTTTTCAGATGTCCTCAGAAATAAACAACTGAGTTCATTGTACTTATTCCTCATGGTGTACCCCCATTAAAAACAGTAGGATTTATGTTCAAGTAAACACACATCAAATCATACTATTCATGTGAGAGTCTCCTGTCCCAGCACCCACTTTGTCATCATAGGTTTATCACTGTGAACCCGACTCCATGTCTCAACCCTTTCATTATTCATTAACCAAGTGTTCAATTTAGTTTGTTTCTCATGAGAAAAGGTCTTCCCTCTCTAATTGCCTTGATGATAACAGAATGCACATCTATCTATGACAAAACCTGGTTAAGGCTGCAGTCATAAACTCATTTATTTGAAGCAAATTGTATTGCATTTATGGGATTGATTTTTGAATCAACACCATCTAGCATGTAGGATATGTCTCATTACAAAGATTTCAGTGGGGCTAATTGGCAGCAATGTTGATAGCAATTTGAATTTAATGTGCATACTAACCTCCTTTAAAATGAGCTAAAAGAATCCCAAACTACACAGTTTTTTGGTTTTATTTCAAATTCCATTAAAAAATTCCAGCATATCCAGCCCATTCCTCAACTACAAAACTAGTGCTTAAACAGCAAAGTCAAGTTATATAAAATGAAAGCTAAGAACCCTGAAATCAGTTGCTACATTTTGAAATCAAGCAGGTTGCATTCCCATACCAGATGAGAAAAATATGAAAATAACCGTAAGTCCACTGTGGACTAACTGAAGTGGCTTAAATTCACTATAACACGGGATCATATATAACAGCCACAGACAAAACTATGGATTTAGAAAGAAGAAAACTTAAAATCAGCCAATATCTGATCCCCTTTACACGAATGCATTATTCATCCCAAACCGTAAACATGTGTATTTATACTTCCTCTCATATTATCATTTCAATTATCAAACATATTATGTACAGAAATGGCCAGCTCAAATGTGCTATGGTCATTATTTGGAACTTTTAACTTAAGGCCTTTACAAAGTGTGTGAAACTAACAAAAATACGTTTCAATGGTACAAGGATATCAAACTGGCCGCAAGGCTGAATTCTTTCCTTCTTTAAGACTAGTAATATTTCTGCATCCCACACTGGATACATCTTTTAATTTGATCATTCTCCAGTGGTTTATCTCCTGTTGTGCAACACAGGAACCCATTTCATACAAAAAAGGCAAAAGATGATTTCCATACCTCACGAGCGCACTCAAGTATCCACAGGCTGATTCTTACTTAATAAAACTGCACTCCCCATGCACAAGAGGGAGGGATCAGCAGACTTGAAGGAAGCTGTTGGGAATCATCTTTAGGGAATCCTCCTCCCACAAAACAGACTAACCAAGCCTGGGGCTGTCCAATGGGGTGTGGAACTCTTGGGCAGGAAAGGAAACTCAGAGGAGAATACAGGATAGGCATCCAGACTGCAGAACCTCATTTTTAAAAATTAAATTAAACATTTAATTTTTTTTTAAATGGCAGAAATCTTGAGATTGACAAATGTTAATTTTTTTTGATGGCCATGGCATTGAGCAAGATTGTGTGATGATATCTGGCATCTGGGGGGGGGGGGAAACCCCACACTGGATGGAATTCTGCCTTCAGAAATGTAATATCCTGTTCAAATACAGTATTTGAACCAACCATGCAGATAAACTAATTCATCTTGAAAAGGATATATAAATACAAGGGACAAAATCCCATTTCACTCGGTCTCTATTGGTAGAGAATTTATAAAAATCTATAGAAAGTTTTTTTTAAAAAAATGAAGTGAGGTCCATTCTTTTAAAGAATATGAATACTCCCTATTTATATAATGAACCACACACCAGTTAAAATTGTAGTTTTAAGGCTGCATCCCGACTGTACAGACTGAATAAACCGCGCAGAGCTCAGTGGAAACTGATTGTGAATACTGCGCTGTTTAAAAATACACTTCTGAAGTCAGTCTGACTAAATTGAAATATATACAAATTGGTTGATACATACTTCAGTATTAACTACACTGGTGAAACAATAAATCCAGTGAATTCATTAAAAAAATAAAATAAAAAGTACCATGTTTAGGCTCATGGTCCAGGCCAGTGGAATTTGCAGCACAATGAGCAAAGCTGAACTGACTTCAATTTGACAATCCACCAGACTAAAAATACACCAGCTTTGATGTCATAGAGATTTATGTTACTCTTTTGATAAGCAATATTCTTTTCTAGCTGTGCAAGCTTGAGGAGTCTCTCACAGGTGCTCTTTAACAGAGCAATCTTATGAGTAACTTCTCAGAAATAAGCCCTATGTTACTCAGTGAGGCATTGCTCCTAGTAAGTGGTTTTAAGGTTGCATCCTTATGGATTATTTAAAAGCACTGTTAGGAAGGTGAGGCAACATATTCAAGCTTTTGAGAAGGCAATCCACCAATCCTATCAATGCTAAATAGGAATGAATATGAAATAATGGGTGGAAATCCACCACCTATGAGCGTGTATATTGGACAGAACTGTATTTTTTGACCCTTGAAGACTTGTTCAAGGTTGAACCAGTGGGAAGCGCTTCCTGTGGGTTACTTTGGTTAAAGGAGTCAGAGATTAAAATCTGTTCCTGCCTTTCACTCCCAGAAAAGGTGCCTGGTTCAGCTGTGGCCCGTACACCAGGAGTTGGTGTCACTACTCTCTCAGTTAATACAATGTTCTGCCCTTCTGACAGATTGGGGATGCTTAAAGAAGCCTTTACGTCAGAACTTGGCACAAGGACCCGCTCCCTTTCTCTCACAACAACATACTTTGAATCTGGGAGGTCTGGGAAGACGCCAGCAGGCATTTCTAACATGTCCTGCAAGTTAGAAGCAGGGGCAAGGACCCTTTCTGTCACTACCACATTCTCCTTAAACTGAGGGTCAAGGATGACTCTTGATGGTACTGCCCCATATGATGTTTCTGTCACTACAACATTTCTGCTGCTACTAATCATAGGGTCTGGGATGTGCTTAACCGGCTGGAGACCAGACTTAGTTTTAACAGTTGTCTCAGTTACTGTTTCCTCAGTCACCGTTTCTGAACCAAAGCCTTTCACAGGTTCAGGTAAATTGTAGACAGACCCTGAAGAATAGGTGTGTTTAGCATTCAGTGCATTCTGCTGCTGTGAGTACTGCAGGCTGGATTCATTCATTACAGGATTAGGAGTTCTATCTTTCTGGGTATGAGAAGTGAACTGCTCTGCTTCTAAGCCTGTGTTTTTGCCCATGCAGATCTCAGCCAGAGTCTTAAATTTGTCTCCCAAGTCATCCAGGAAATGTTCATCAAAGTCGCCTTCAATAAAGCTACAGCAGCCAACTGAACCATGAGGAGAATCGTGTTCTTCCTCCTGGGAGTAAATGAGTAGGCAATCTTTGGCAAGCTGCACTTCGTCCTCATCAGCAATAGCATCAGCTTTCTAAAATGTGGAAGAACAAGAATAATGAGCACTCACGTTTCAAAAGTTATAATTTTCTTTAACTAAAGCCCCTAGATCAGATTAGATCACAGATCATAGTTACATAATATTTCCAAACTACAAAGCTGCTGACATTCATATGCAGAATATTCCAACCCAGAGTCATTCTACCTGGATGAAAAGAGCAAGGATGCCCACATTCGTATTTTGGCAGCAGAATTCCAGGACATTAGATTTAAAAGGGTCAATTTTAGTCCCTTGTATAGTTACCTCATAAACTTTCTCTTTTTTCCCCCAAGCAATCTTTTCAGATTTATTAATCATAGGGTATATCTTAGTTTGGGGGGGAGGAGTGGCTTTAAGGTTGAATTATAGTGCATTTTTATTATCTTTATTCTTCTATGTAATTCACGTCAAGAACATTTACAATTTGATGGATTAAAAATATAATAAACAAACAACCTAAATAAATAAGTCACCTTTATTTATATATGATTCAAAAATTATTGCTGGTAATCATGATAAACAGTGATCAGAATGTTTTGGAGGTGACATCTTTTTAATCAATTAAACAAGTATCAATGGCATTTCCCCCAATCCTTCCTTCTTTTCTCTTTAAAGTGAGGTTGGATTTCTTCCTAGTAGCTGGCCCTGTCTCCTGAATACATTCTGGAATAGCATCTTTCCAGAGCATAGTCTGGAATCATGCTACGGGGGGGCAGAGCACCATGTGAAACAAAGCAATATGGGAGAAATAATGGACAACTGATATGCCTTTAGGAGAAATACTGACAGCTGCAGTTGCAACTGAAGTTATAGTTTTAAAAAGGAAATGAGACAAAGGGGATAGAGGCAGAGGATTTGTTTGATATAGTTATGCTCCTTGCTCTCTGGAGATATGATGAATTGTAACTCTCTTGAAAATCCACGAAAATGTCCTCCAGTGTGTGCAAAAATTATGCAGAAAAATAGTTTAAGTACAATGAAAAAATGCTTGGCAAAAAAAGAAGGCCTCTTCCAGCCCTAATTATCCCCGTGCTCCCCACCTCCTCAAAAGCATGCAAAGCCAGGCTGAATGTTTTCAGCCACATGCCTCCCTGCTCCCCCACCCCCCCGTCCTACCCTTGTGCCACCAAACAGAAGATTTCTTAATTAAGCCTGCTGGCCTGCCAAAGGAATAAGCTACAGTTCCCCAAATTGGGAAAAAGATGCCCTCCCTGCAATAATACATACCCCAACCTATAATGATAAATCTAACAAGATGAATAAACACCTATGTCAATATATGTCATCAAAAGGTAGAAAATGTTGACCAATGGAGTGAATTCAGAAAGTAGACTCTTACCTCACTGAAGTAATCCCGTAAGAATTCTTGATTCATGATGGTGCCACTTTCCATGGCTGAGGTTCTGCCAGCTCCTATCCGTACTGTCCCACCTGCTGTCAAGCCTGCCCCTGCTGCCCCCGCTGAGGCGCCCTGAAATTCTGCACCAGAAAGAAGAGCTTCTCGCTCTTCTCTCTGCCATCTTGTGACTGTGTTGCTGCTGATGTTCTGCTCCTTGGTTGCAGAGAAGAAGCCGCTCTCTGCTGCTGCTCCTGCTCCTGCTGCTGCTCCTGCTCCTGCTGCTGCTCCTGCTCCTGCTCCTGCACCCACGACTGCTGCTTCGCTTCCCACATTCTTTTCCAATCCAGAAGAAGTAAGGAGGTTCAGGATTGCCTAACATCAAACACAACAATTAAAAAGCTAATATGGGCCTGGAAGGAGCAACACTGAAATCATGAAAGGAATGGCTTTGCTAGATTGCTATGTGAATTGGCATGGTTTGGTACTTCTTACTCAGAGAAAAAGGAAATAGGGAAACACAGGGTTCTAAACTGTGGCTACTTGTGTGTTCCTCTCAAGCCCCACCTATAAGCGCATGGCTTGGAGAACGGCTGGCTGGAGAATTCTGGGAGTTGAAGTCCACACATCTTAAATAGAAGAGAATATGTGTAGCTCAGGGTTGAATTCTGGAATCCTTGGGGTTATCTGAGCTTGGTTGTTTTCTTGCCTAAGGAAAGACCAAACCATCATCACCCTCCCAGCAGACAAAGGCCGAACCACAGTTACTATGGATAAATCACAATACTTGCAAAAAAGCCAAAAAATTATTAGAGGACAAAGAAACCTACATCCCAG